TCTCTCTCTCTCTCTCTCTCTCTCTCTCTCTCTCAGTCCAGTACTAACCTGTGAAGTTGGCGCCTTGATGCAGGTACCTCGAAGATGAAGCTGGAGCTATGGCGCCACAGGTAAGTCTCCCTGGCCTCCGCCAGCCATCTCTCTCTCCAACTCTACTCTACTCCTACCAGCGCCCAGTGCTGAAGACTACCACTACAGCTACTAGCGCCCAGCGCTGAAGACTACTGCTAGCGCTAAAGCTACTCCTGCAGCGCTCCTCCAGAGTGCTGCTGCCGAATCCTGAAGACTACTCACTGCCTTCTGCCTGCCCATGAAGTGCATGGGAACTCCCTATGTACTACCTCGGCCTGCCTCCTGTCTGCCTCCGACTGCCTGCAGTTGCAGGGCGGGGCAGTCCAGGAGGCTGCTCTTGCCAATGCCAAAATGCGCCAGGGTCTGGCGCTGCAGCTCCTGCTGATGCTGTCGTGGGAACAGGCCAAAAATAGCCTGTTCCTAAAACCCTGGTTTGGTGCCTGAGTGTCAGGGCAGGTTGATCTTATGAGGGCCCGAAAATGGCCCTCCGTTTCAGGCTGAAAAGACTCAGGGCCTGGAAGGCCCTGTTTTAGGCTGAAACAACATAGGGCCTGAAGGCCCTCGTTTTCAGGCTTTCAGGCTGAAACGACACAGGGCCTGAAAGCCCTTGTTTTCAGGCTTTTAGGCTGAGAACGCTGGCCGGGCCCTGCAGGCCCGTGTGGCTGCGCAGTATGCCACACAGAGAGAGAGAGAGAGAGAGAGAGAGAGAGAGAGAGAGAGAGAGAGAGAGAGAGAGAGAGAGAGAGGGGGGGAACAGGCAGAGAAGGAAGCAGGGAGTGGCGGGTTGTGGCGTAGAAAGGCAAAAAGGGACATACAGATGCAAGGAAAGAGGTAATAAAGGATGAGCAGAATGGAGAGTGAGGAGCAGAGAGTGAGGAGCAGGTGAAGTTGAAGAGGAAGTGAGAAGAGGAGGAGCCGGAAAATTAGGTTAACCAGTAATAACCACAGAGGTCATCGAGGAGGCTAATGAGCAGAGGAGTGGAGGTAGCATAGGACCGAGAGGGGATGACTACTGGAAGGAGTAGAAGTATTGGTGCCTTGAACTAGCGTGTAATCATATCGTTTATACATGATTCTCCAATCATTTGCGTACTTGAATGCAAACTAATACTATGTAATTCATGTTGTTTCAAGAACTCTGACAGCAGAGCCTCTTGAGAACTCAGGAGTTGTTGTGATTCCGAAACAACAGATTCGCTTCTTGCTGCAAAAGTAGCCTTGAAAGTTTTGCCAAAAGTTTTTTTGACTAAATAAAAAATCAAGGTCCCCCATTTAGTGTCTGGACAAGGCCTATTATATGCCATTTGCTATTCCATACGCGACGTGACCAAGATTTTCAGAACTCTGGTGAAACCGTGAAAGATCATTTGGATGTAGTCAGCCCCCTCGAATAGCTCCAACTTCCTCTCGACAATACGCAGGCGACCTCAGGTAATCAACTTCTTGAAGTTCGTTATGATCCTCTTCAACTGCAACTGCGATCTGCAAACGACGATGCTCAGCGTCGACTGCAGTGGGGGGGGTGCAATCGGCGACTGTGATCTCAGATAGGATCCAACTTTTCTTTAAGTTCCTTTGACTTGAGCTCACTGTCAACTGTTTTTAATTACGTGAACTGCAACTGCAATTTCACTGCGAAAACGTCAAACTTAGTTCAAACTTCAAAACTTCAAAACTTCAAACTTTATAAAATTGCAATTTCGACCAGAAAAGTGTAGCTGCGAGCTGAATTAGGAAGTACAGCCTCTTTGAATTGGAAAGTTAGTCTTTGCGCATAAAGATGTTTTAGTTTTCCTTGGTTTATGAGGAGAAGGTAGCAAATTGCAGCTCATGAGGAGGACACGTTTCATACAAATGAATCTCTCTCTCTCTCTCTCTCTCTCTCTCTCTCTCTCTCTCTCTCTCTCTCTCTCTCTCTCTCTCTCTCTCTCTCTCTCTCTCTCTCAATCAACACGATAGGATGAGGCAAAGACAGTGAGCTGAGAAACAAGTAGTACCCACGGAAGACATAGACATAGGCTTGAGGGCAAGGGTGAGGCGAGCAGGGAGATGGACAGCACAAGTCAGTGAAAGCAACAACAGTAGATCAAAAGACGAGAACTGAAAAAAAATAAAAACTGATGATAACAAGATTGTTTCATCGGAGTTGCACCGACTCATCAGGAGGCTGAACCCTCGACAATCTGCGGAATCTCCGTATTTTGTGGTTTGGGTCATGAACCCTTTGACCCTTGTTGAAGGCAGACTGTCCCCAAGCGGAGCATAGCAGTGGGCAGCAACCCTGTGGAGCACCAGGCAACACGGTATGGGCAACACGGCTGCACAACGCCAAAAACGACTGCAAGGAATGACATGGCACGCAGGACATGCAGCGCGGCAACCGTGTACTGAAGCACAAGACAACACAAACAAGGCAACCACACTGCAAGGGACGACAGGGCGAGCGTACCAGCAGCTCAGCAACCTTGGAGCGAAGCACAAGGCACCAGCAACAAGGCAACCATCCAACAAGGCCCGCAGGCAGCAAACACGGAAGGCACAACCAGCAGAAGGGCAGCAAGGTAGCGGAGCAGCAAAGCCAAGTCAACACCACCAACACGGCCACATCACACAGCGAACACAGCAACCTGCAAAGAATCACATGCGAAGCAAGTGGGACAGGCAGCAGGGCAGAGGCGGAGCGCAGACGAGGCCGTCCACACATCCAATACGGAGCAAAGCGGCACACAACCTACTCACATCACGATTGAACCCCGCAGACTGTTGGTCCCACCACCCACTGAGCCAGGGAGACACTCCAATGAGCATCCGTCATCACCCACAGGCGACAAAGACATCCCGAACCGAGCGGCCCCCCTACGAGTGCAGTAGGCGCTCCAAACGAGGAACCACCGACTATTTGGCACTACTTAAGGGTGCTCAGTTGGGCACACAGAAATACTTGGGAAAAAATCAGAGGGAGGACAGACAACAGGAAAAGGACTGACCGACATAAAACTGATTGTGTGTGTGTGTGTGTGTGTGTGTGTGTGTGTGTGTGTGTGTGTGTGTGTGTGTGTGTGTGTGTTGGTGGTTTGAGTAGCGCTTAGGAAGTTAGCCTTTGTATTTTCTGAAAGACCTCATTGTATTCCTTAGTTTGCGCGAAGACGGTAGTGAATTCAAGCTCACGAGGACGATGGGCCTTTTAGTAATCGAAGGAGAGAGTGAGTTCATATGAATTGCTTTCTTCGCCCGGTAGGGCATATTATTTGTGCTGTAAAAAAGCCTGTAATTGCATAGGCAATGGACACGTATTTTCAATTTTGAATCTTTGATGTCATTTTGCGATCTCAACTGATGAATTGCTGAAAGCCAGAGGGGAAAAAAAAAAACAATAAAGGTGAAAGCCAGATGAATCACTGGCTGAGATTTATTGATGCTCTACTGTGGCTGCCGGATACTTTTTTTAGGGGCAAGGTTTGTTATTGCAAAATATACAATTTCTGCAGGAAATTGAAAATGGCATAGGTCATGATGTTACGTCAACCCACTTGCAGTTCCCAGTTGCAGTTGGTGATCAACATCGTCGTTTGCAAGTCCCAGTTGCAGTCGATGGCGAACTCAACGGGCTTAATGAACTCAATGAAGTCAAAGCTGACGTCACGTTCTCATGTGCAGTTGAAGTTGGAGATTCTCTTAGGATGACATCAAAGTCTGAAGTCTGAAGGTTTGAAGGTTTGAAGGTTTGAAGTCGCAATTGAACTCACAAGGAAGACGGATTCGAAGTTAGCGCTGCGATCACAGCTGGTTCTAGTTGAACTCAAATAATGTATGGTCTCAAATAATGTATGGTCTTGCAGAAGTTGAGGGCAAGTCAAGGACAAACACGCAGAAGTTCTGAAGTTGAAATAAAATTCTCTACCTGCACGTGCAGTTGCAAATCCACTTGCAGTCGCAGTTGGGCAGCATAAGTTCACTGCAGTTGCAGTCGAAGTTGAACTTGAAGTTGAACCCGCAGCTGCAGCTGCAGCTGCAGTTGCAGTTGCAGTTCAGTTCAGTTCCTCTGAATGCTGCAGTTGCAGTTCAGTCCCGCTGACCGCTGCAGTTGCAGTTCAGTCCCTCTGACTGCTGCAGGTGCAGTTCAGTCCCTCTGACTGCAGCAGTTGCAGTTGCGGTTGCAGTTCCAGTCCCTCTGACAGATGCAGTTGCAGTTCAGTCCCTCTGACTGCTKCAGTTGCAGTTCAGTCTCTCTGACAGCCGCGGTTGGAGTCCCAGTTCAGTCTTTTTGACAGGTGCACTTGCAGTTCAGTCCCTCTGACAGCTGCAGTTGCAGTTCAGTCCCTCTGACTGCTGCAGTTGCAGTTCAGTCCCTTTGGCAGGTGCAATAGCAGTTGCAGTGCAGTCCCTCTGACAGCTGCAGTTGCAGTTCAGTCTCTTTGACAGGTTGCAATAGCAGTTGCAGTCCAGTCTGTCCGACAGTTGCAGTTACAGTTGCAATTGCAGCTCAGTCTCTCTGACAACTGCAGTTGCAGCTCAGTCTCTCTGACAGCTGCAGTTGAACTCAGAGACTGTGATCTCAGAGTAGTTGAAGTTGATCTTGCAGTTGAAGTTGCAATTCACCTGCAACTGCGTTTGCAGTCCACTTGTACTGAAGACTCTCTGACATCACATCTGCAGTTGCATCCGCATAAGATAAGCTCGCAGGAGTTGCAAAGTTGAAAAGCTCGCAGAACTTGAAGTTGGAAGTTGAGGTTGAAGTTGAGGTCGAAGTTGCAAGCGAACCTGCAGCTACAATTGCAGTCCCCTTGCAGTTAAGTCTCTCTGGCATCTCAGCTATGGCCAAACTCGGAGAAGTTGAGTTGATCTTGCAGTTGATCTTGTAGTTGAAGTTGAGGTCGAACCAGCGGCTGCCATTGCAGTCCACTTGCAGTCAAATCTCCCTGACATTGCAGCTGCACATGAAGTTGCAGTTGCTGCATTTGCTGGTATGCCATGGCCCGCCCATATCCAATGCATGAAGGAACACAGAGCAAGCGATCATTACAGTTGGGCAACCGACACACACACACACACACACACACACACACACACACACACACACATAAACCCATAGCCATTTTCCCCCCAAACTTTTTTTTCAAAAGATAAAAAATAAGTTAATACTACTTAAATAACAAAACAAATAAAATTTAATAAATAAATAATAAAATTAATTAATAACTAAATAAATAAAATTAATAGATAAAAATAAGTAAATAAATGTACAAAATAATAAAATAATAAATAATAAATAAATCAAATTAAATAAATAGGTAAAAAATACTAAAAATACATAAGTAAAATTAAGGATAATAATAAATAATAATAATACAAAATAAAAAAAAAATAAAAAAAAATAAGTGAAAAAATAAACCTTTATGGAAGTTTATGCACAAACAAATAAATAAGAATGTTTACCTACTTCAAGGTAGAACCCCACAGCCTACCTAAACAACGAGAAACCAATCTCGCCAATATTACAAATCCTTACGTTTACAACAACGTAACCCATTAAATTTAGACAATTCCCACAAACGAGAAAAAATATGGGATCATTAGAACCAACTAAAAATTTAAAACTGAGCCATACTTACAACATAACCTGCACAACCCCCCCAAAAAAATGTGAACCAACTAAAAATTTAAAACTGAGCCATACTTACAACATAACCTGCACAACCCCCCCAAAAAAATGTGAAGTCACACTGTTTCGACGGACGGCCTGACAAATGCTACATGACGATTCACAATACCCACCGGAGAGCACGGTACGAAAAAAACACTTGATTCATCGCCAGCAGCATGGCGCTGAACAAAACAATAGTTCGTAAGCTTTCAATTGATTTGTCCCCTTTATACCCAGCTTACATAAGGCATAAAGCTAGACCACCCAAACTTATGGAACATGTCTAACTCAACCATGGAGTATACACAAACACAGGGCACAACAACTTTTCTCTTCTTTGGGCATATGACTAGGTCATCCTAGTCGCCCTGAAATGTTTAAGTATCCCAACTTTATATAATTACCTTCACTTAGTCTTTTGAGGTAGCATATAACTGAACCGATCATCTTAGATCGAGGTCCAGCCTGCTCCTTCTTACCGCAAGTTTATTCTTAATTAGTACTTTCTTCAGTTGGTGATAGGCTATAGTCAAACCACCCAAACTTATGGAACCCTGTCTGACTAGCCTGTTCATAGATAGAATAGTAGTAAAATATAGTCAAGTTATAGTCTTCTGGTTCTAGCATGTGTGTGGCATTAGACCAAGACCACCCAAACTTATAGAACATGTCTTGGTCCTCAGTCTGGTTCATTTCTCTCGAAGCCAAAGCAGGAAGAAACTGAAGGAAAACCCAAAGTAAACAAGGCGACCAAGCCACCCAAACTTATGGAACATGCTTGGTCCCCGAAAAGTCATTCACATTCAGCCCTGACAAATCAGAGCAACCAGACCACCCAAACTTATGGAACATATCTGGTTCTCCAGGCAATTCAAAATAAACATAGCACTTGGCCTTCCCAAACTTATGGAACTGGCCCAACCTTTGGTTGACCCGGCCAGACACATGCAATACTGCCTTCCTCCCACCTTTCCCCCAGATGCAATCCCACAATCTTCTTTGAGTCAAACAATAAAACTGAAACTGATTTTGCACAATCATTCATTTACTTAGTCTGGATTGTGTCCTGAAGGTCAAACTGAAAGTCAAAATAGGGAGATAGGCAACATACTCAGTCAAACATAATAATGAATACAAGTAAGGGTTATACTGGGTTTATAGAAGGAAAGCAATAGTTACCTCTCAGTTCCCTGCTTCCAGAACTCCTCCTGAGTTCCGGCAGAGCTCCCGCAATCGGTGGGCTGACTCCCCACAGAGTCTTGTTGCGGTCCTACGGGTTGCAATCCCGCTTGCCGCCTTCCTCTCAGAACTGGACTGGACTTAGAGTAAGAAGGGCAGAGGTGAGGGGTTTCAGATGCTCGAGATACAAGAGAGGGACAGACTCAACTCCCAGGAGAGGGCCTTGAAACCTTCTTGCGTCTGAGGGTCCCGCAATGACGGCCAATAATCCCAATAAGATGGTCAAGCTGAAGTCAAATTGTTGAAACAGCCCCTCCTGACGAACCTCCAGATCGCAATGATGACCCCCTTACAAGCATGGCTATCCCCTCACGTCACACAACTCCTGTCCCAAACTAAACTACAGTAACGCAGCCTAGAGAAGACCTCGTTCAAATAGAGCACACCCCCTCCTCTGCTCTATTCAAATACAGGCGAGAATGCAACAAGTACATAGCCATAATAAGTAGCAGCAAGGCTCTACAGCGGTGCACAACGAGAACTGTCAATACGCAACATATGCACAGCAAGTGACACGTAAAACTACAGCTCCGAACAGCGGCGACACTATAGCGGTAAGATGGTGCGCAATGAGCCTTGCGACTTCTCAACAACACAAAACTATTTCTCAACGCGGCATCGTGCATGCGGCACGGGCTCAGCAGCATCATCGTGCTAGCACAGGCCACTCAATACGACACGAACTCGTGCATACAAGCGCATGGCAGCGAGCCCAGTGAAACTCGACAAAAAAACCCGAGTATACTGTAGTTGAGCAAGAACTCAAAATGTGGCAACAGGCCTAAGGGCAGTAGCAGTTCCTCCTTTTTTTCTTTATGCTTAGCGTCCGAGCTACTACTGCACATCTACTAACAGCCTACGAACAAACAATGTATCCGGCTGACATCGACAACAACAGCCGGAGTACATGAAGGCTTCGACCTTGTAGACCATTGCCAGGACCAGGTAGGTACTCCTACACCATAATCCTCATCTTTTTCCCTCTCGTAACTCATGAATGCACCTGGTCGTCAACGCGGCCAGGTTCTTTTGGAATCATGGTAAATTGTTGAGATGAGGGTTATGGTCACGACAGTCGCGACTGCAGCAACAGTCGCCACCGCTCTAAATGAGGTACGAGAAGTAATGGGGGGGGGGGGAGAATCACCGTGGCGGCAAACAGCACTGCTGCGATGATCAAATCGCGACGAAGAAGCCCCTTTGGGATCGAGCCTCCTCCTCTCTTCTTTCCTCACCATCTCTAACTTTCGCACACCACCTTTCTTTCTAACTCTTTTTGTACTAACTACCGCACCGATCTGGCTTCATGTTCGGGCTCGCCATAGCACGAAACCTCAGTTTAGATTCTTAGTCTACTCAGAATGGTCAAGGAACGACCGAGATAGCCAAAATCCACTCCCTCGTTCCACCTCACCTTCTTCTTCGACACTTTCGCGAGCTTTCATTTCCTCCCCCTCCTCATACACTCTTCAATCCTACAAACTAAGCCTGCCATTCGATTCGCCCCTACTTAAAACCTCGGATTCGGCTTTTAGTTCGCCGAAATCCGTTAGGAATCGAGGGCGCCATGCACTTCCCGCCATCCCCATCTCCTCTTCTTCGTCCGCCATCTTCATGTCCTTCACGCACGTCTCTTCTCTCCTAACTTTTCTAACACTAACTCTTATACTAATCTAACGTTTCCAATAGGTTCGCCCATCCAATAAACCCCTACTATGCATCTTCACCCGTTTGATTCTACGAAGAATCGAGTCAGTTATGTCTCTCCCCCTTTTTGCCATATCCAACCTCCGCCATCTCCCACGCAAGTTTTCCTTCTTCTAACTCACCTTCCACTAACTTCCCACTCAAACTGACTTCAAGTCCCGGGTCGCCTGCCCTAAAACCCCTCATTTCTTACCTTCTCTTGCTTGATTCCAATGTGAATCGAGCAAGCCATGGCTATCTGGCTGCGCCCAACCCGTCGCCCTGCCATTTTTGTTCCCTCCGAATGCACCCGGCGCAACTTTGCGTCCGAAATCGTTCCCTTCACTCGCCTTTCTCCCTACTGCTCGTTACCTCTTCTCCGATCTCGGGGATCCGCCCCTGTTCTATCCTCCCTTAACTCACTTCTTCCTCCCTACCTCCGTCGCTTTTGGCTTAGCGTTCATCACCCCTCCGCCTACACCATCTCAACCTACACCCGACACACTTCTTGGTCGGGTTCCTTCTTCTTTCCTGGCTCCTTTCCGCCTAGTGCTAGCGCCCGTTGTCCCCTCTGGCTCCCTTCTTCGCTAGTCCGACTGCGCCTGATGCAGCAGCCCACTCGAACTGCTTCAACCCCCACCGGAAACTTCTGAGGAAATCCGCTACTAGGCGGCTCGATTAACCCCCCAGTCCAACGAACGAGCTGCACCAGTATAGTTGCCATCTCCCCCACAGTGCCCTTGGCTTGCTGCATGGCCTGCAGCTGAAGCCAAGATGAGGCGATCCCAGTGTAGATCTGGGCGTTAGCAACAAAAATTCAAATGGAAATCTTGAATACCGGAGCGGAAAAGGTTTTATGTGATGCAGCGTACCGAAGTCCCGCTGCGATCTCCCCACAATGCCCCCGGCCACTCTACCGTGTTGCGCCCGGGCATGATCCGTCATCCTTTGGGATCCGACTGCACGCTCACGCTTAAACCTTTTCACAACAGATCGTGGTTGGCAGATGGTATACCCACGGCAACCCCAGCCACCCTCGTGTTGCAGTCCGCTGGCTCGCCCGGAATGTTCTCTACTAGGCTATCGACACTCTCCAAGTGGGAAACAATGAAAGCCACGACCACGGACCCCACCACTCTCACGAACGTTGACTCCCTCGATCCGTGTTCCCACACAGTCAGGAGTTTGTCAACGCCTAGGTCACGCCAGAGTTTCAATGGGCGTGCTCAAGGTCTTTGACTGCCGTTTCGGCCACCGTGCCCGGCGTCGGCCTCAGAACCGATTATCGAGGTAAGAAACTTTAGAAAACAATAAAAACAAACAAATAAATAAATAATAAAAATAAGAATAAACGTCGCGCGTCCCTCTGGCCCGCAACGCCTCGCTTACCCG